GGGGGGGCAGAAGGAAATGTAACTTCAGGATTTATTGTTGGCCTAGAATATCACGCACTTTATAAATAAGCTGGTTGGTGGATGGCAGGTACTCTGGCGTGGTTTTTCACCTGCTTTCCTATCAAACATGTATCTTCCTTATCTCTCCTTTTTTGTTTGTTACTCTCTTGTAACATCTCTAATCTTCGGTACTTTAATGACCTAACTGAGTTGCTAGTGCCAAACAATTCACTCCAATACAAAACAAAAAGCTGTACACATTGTATACATGTATTATTGTACAAGTTGCGTGATACCATTGTGTCATGATAGTATGCTTTTACGTATAGTTTCTAAATCATTAGGAGTGCTCGCGAGAGTACTGACTTAATGCGCTTGTCGGTGAACCAGAAAAACGTGTTCGCCAAATAATTCCGTAGGCGCGTGTACACGTTCGGCATGTAATTTATATTTGCTTGTGTTGTTTGTATCCGGGATGAGCATTCTCACCTTTGCTTCTCTTTTCTGGATTTTCCCCTGATGAGAACAACAACATCTGCGGTTTTTTGTTCAGTTTTGTTTTGCAGTAGAGTCCGCTTTATGTAAGCCTGGATAAAGCAAAACTTTCCCTTTAACGAAGTGGCAGCGGTGGTTCATATTTGCCCCCCCCCCCCCCCCAAAACCCCCAAATTTGGGTACAAAACAAGCTGCTTAAAAGAGAATAAAAATCGATTATATGCCAGTTTTTCTCAAGTGCATCCAACGGGTTTTAATATAAGTTCTAACTGTAAAATTTTGTCATCTAAGCTACTCCTTCGATCCCCCTACTGTATATACACACACACACACACACACACACACACACACACACACACACACACACACACACACACACACACACGCATAGTCCCCTATTCTGAGTCCCACCCAAAGACCAGGGTTTTCAACTGACCTGGAGCAGGAGGGGACAGAGCACATACTCACACAAAAATTATAAAGTATAAGAAAACAAATTAAAACCACGAAATATCAACATG